TTTATGGAAAAAAAAAAAATCCCTGCTCCTGCCAGAAAAATAAGTAGAAAATAATTGAAAAAATTAGAAAAAAAAAACGACAACAATAAAGAATCTCTCACAACCTCAGAAAGAAATCAACCATGTGAAATTATTACAATCGCACATAATTTTCTCTTCGACTACAATTACACAAAACATCATCTCAAAACTTTATACCAATTAAACAACTATTGTTAGTATACCAGACTTACAAAGTTTTAAAATTCAAATTCATGAGCCCCTTTTGTAGCAGTTAAAGTACATCATCTCATTGTACCTTTTCGACAAACAGACACTCGATTTTCTAATATCTTGCCAAAAACTTTACAATTTTTATCCCTAATTTAACAAAAATTTATCTAACTATCATGCCATGTCAGCGTTGTAAAAACACGAATTAAATACAGAAATGAAATCTACACTGCAATAACATAGTTAAAATTCCAAGAAAAAAAAAGGTGGGTTGTACCTAAATTCTTTTAAAGAATTAAAATTGGAGCAGTTCTCATTATAATATGGTAAAAATAACAAATAAAGTGGGAAAAAATGGTCTCTAAAAGAGGCCACACTATGACTATACACACAGTCTCATAATGTACAAATATAAATCAACAGTTGAAAATACTGACAATGGCAATGGGTACCACAATTTTGATTGTACAAATGAAGAAAGGGGGCCATAAATTAAAGAAGGCCGATACATTACATTATATTATATTATATTATATAGTTTACATAAATGCCATGGATACATACATGACATAACATAACATAACATACATGATGATTATACATCCATGAACAACAGAGCCTGCATTTTAATATTCTCTGCTAGCTGCTGCATGCTCAGACTGTAAACCCTTCAGAATCGACCTGTTAACGGCTGTCCCGGTTTGTTCTCTGCCATTGGATGTTGATCTCTTACTTGCCTTCAATTATAATCTATCAAAAGAAAGAGGAAAAAAAGCCCTATGTGGGGTCCACCACATACACATCAAACTCAGATGCATCATCCTTAACCTTGGAATTATATTCTATTTCTTTTCTTTTAATAATAAATAAATTAGAGACGTATGTTTTATTGGTTTTGCTAATGTATTTTACTTGTGATTAATAAGTTTAATTTTATAAAACCTGTTTATGCAAGATCTTGGTGGGAGTGGCTCTGACGTGGGCTCAGCTCACACTTGAAAATAGTATTTTATATGGTGTGTGGTATTCCGTCACATACACTCTAAAACTTAAGTTAATTTAATTTGAACTCGTGTTGATCAATCGAGCTGTGTTAGAATACAAAAGATTATATATGTATCTTTTAAAATATTGTGAGAATCCACCTTGACAGCTCTACCCATTGTGACCACCGCATTTGTCATTTGATAGGTTAAGCAATGATAATTGGAAGAGACTATATGACAACAAGATCGTCGTTATTCTGTCGAATGTCACGGTACATATCTCGTTAGTTAGAGTCTGCCCCACGTTTAAGTCAAGCCGAGGTATACTTTCAGAATATCACAAGCCTTTCCTACTTCTTTCTGGAGTGAAGCTCGGATAGGATCATGCATGTGTTGCACTTGGTTTTAATATGCCCATGCAACATAATCTATTATATTGACAGATTTATTTATTTACCTTTAAGCATACGGGTTGTCAAAATTTCTTGCAAGACATGCGCCATAGGGATGGATCAAGAATTCACGATCACAAGTTGGGACATTTTTCTTTTGTTTCAATTTCAATTGTTCGGAACATGACTAAAGTCCCAACTCAAGAAAGATCATAGTTATATTTATAGATAAAAGACAACATCTAATCGATTGGTACACGATGTATTAAGGATGAAATCACAAGTAAAGTCATAAGAGTTCAAGTCTAAAATATACAATACAATATCATCGGGGAAACACTTTTCTATGACCTATCCATTTCTTAAATGTTTTTGGATTAAATAATAATATATGTATATAAATAGTAGGGTTTGAGGGCAGGCAATTGATGGGTGTTTGGCCCATTTTGGGTTAGAGGCTAAGGTATTAGCCATTAGAGTGTGTTCCCATTTTTTGGTGTAAATTAAGAGAGAGTTTTTAAAATTTTCAATGTCAAACGCAAGCCGTGGAAATTTCTGCCACCTCCACCGCACAAACCAAGCACACTATTTTGGCCTTGCATGCGCCCAATAGTGGAAACTCATGCACTTCAAACATGGAAGACAATATCACACGCAATAAAGAAAAAAAAAGAAAAGAAAAAGAAAAGAAACTCAAAATATTGGAACTTTTCCTAATCCATAATCTTTATTTATGTGGAATGTATTTAACTTACCTTTTAAAGTCTATTCAAAATGTTTCGAGAATGGAATATTTGTGAACATATAAGCAACATCTCTATTTGGATGAAATTTTTAACGTGAAACTAAGAGGAACGTGGCGCAGAAGAGACATGAACTTCTTTTAGACTTGAAATAAACAATATCGTATTACTGGTGAGATATGGATGAGATGTCCGAAAAAAAAAAAGCACATTACCAACTATTATAAAAGACTATCATTAGTAGCTAGGCTCATAAAACACGGAAATTTCAAAATTAACTAAAATTTAGATACTTATTCAAAATTAAAGTTGAATCAGACTCGTTTAATTAAATAAAACAGTGAAAATATTTATTTTGATTAAATTATGAATTTGGCTCCTTATCTGAAAAAAGTTCCAATTTGGTCCATATAATTTTAAAGATTTTAATTTAGTTTTCATGGTTCTCGATTAACTCAATTATGTTAGTCCCTRTAACTGCAAAAATTTTAAATTGTGTTTTATTCCCTTTGAAAATCCACCTATTTCCTATTTCTTTTTTTATCCACCCTAAATTCTAATACACTCAACTAACACAGTTATCGAAATAGAAAATCGGTACCAAATAGATAATTTTATAAAATATAACTAAATTAGAAAAATTAAATGGAGACTTCTAAATCATAAAAGCTAGGTGGAAATTAAATCTAAGTGATAAGAACCGAATTCAAAATGCGTCCAAACCATGTAAACTAAAATTTATAATAGACTGTTTATAGAAGATTATTTATTTATTTTTTGGGTAGGAAATGTGAATAGTGTGAAATATGGGGGTGAATGTGGAGAAATAATAAAAGAGGGGAGTGGAAAAAGGGCGTTTGTCGAGTGATGATAGTTGCTGTCGCTTTTCATTTCCCACACAAAAAGCAGTCGGCGCCGCCGTAGGTGGGTGCCCTCTCCTCCCATCTTTAAAGTTTTTCAAAAATTTTTAGTATTAAAACTCCTATCAAAATAAACAACAATTTATTTTATTTTTTTCTTCGTATTTTATTATTAACTATTTAATAGTGATGAGTAGAAGATACGTTCTTGTTAGTACAATATGCACGAGTGTATACTAATTACATTTTACTTAGAGGTGGATATATTAACTATTAAGAAAATATCTATTCATTCTATTTATACTTTTTAACATATTATTAATAATGTATTGTTTTATTTAATAAATCACACAGGCCATACTATTCTTAAATACTGCTTTAATGAGGAACAATGAGGGAAGGTAGTATATTAAATTCTCTATTTGATATATTATTAAATAATGTATTAGCATTATAAAAAAAATTAAATAATACATTATTTTATTTTATAAATTTCACACCATCCTTAATTTGACAAATAATAAATGAGTGGCTATACTACAGTACTTGAAAACTTTTCCATTCATTGCGTTTTATCATTGAAAATGATTGTGACCACGTTTTCCCACCCACTTTTTTTTGTTCTTCTTTACTGCCAAATCCAATTGCCCCAAATCATACAAGATTTTTAAACAATAATAATTTATTTTTCATTTCAAACTTCCCACCCAATTTACTTTTACGGTTTTAAAAATTTTGAATTTGAATGGTTTTTCTTGTGTCAGAGGAAGCATTTTGTATAATTTATTTTGATTTAATTTCATTAACCTTGGGTAGGTTGGAACATCTAACATGGTAAAAGTTACTTTCTCCGTTAACCAATTGATATTGATAATTGATTTGTATGGTTAAATGTTTTGAGAAATTTATATTTCTATGTTATTTACTTGAATTGTACAATTATGAGTTTTGTAAGCGTCGGTATATAATTTGAGAAATGACGTGCTTAAAAAAATTTGATGTTGTATCAGTATGTATGTGTATATCAACTTGTGCTAGTCCCTATTGAAGTGAATTGTATTTAATTAATTTTTACATTTACTCCATTTTAATATTGTTTTATGTTCTTCTCCCAATTTCCAACTTTACATAAATGTTTCTTTATTTAATACTATCATAAATTTTCTTATCTCAATTAACATCTTACAATTTTGCCGTTCCTTTAATAACAACCATACTATAGTGTGTGGAATCATGATTATCTTACTCTACAAATTTCTTGTCGATTTATATTTACACATCTACCCTTCCTTTGATAAACAAATATAATAACAACAATAATTTAATTTTGTGGAATAATAATTATCTACACCCATGGTAAAAATACTTGATATTTGATTTTTTTTAATATTTATAAGATAATAATACTTATCTCCTCATGAGTTATTAAGTATTTTTTTTACTGCAAATATAAGCTCGATCCATAATAATTGACACCTATTTTATGACAATCGGATAATGAATACTAATCTTTTTCTCTACTTGTTGCATTTAAAAAGAAGAAAAGTATTACTTTATCGATAATTATTAAAAATTTGACCGCGAAAAATGAAGGAAACAAAATTAGAAAAATAAATCATATACATCCCATCATAGAAAGAACGTTTTGCAAACTGCTGGCCCAATTTTCTTCCCTTTTTCACCGTTATCGGTTAAATAAAAAAGAGAGACAAAAAAAAAAATGAAAAATGACAAAAAAGCACCAAAGTTTTCCTTCTTTACATAAACTCCTCTCTCTCACCTTCTTCTCTAACTCTGCATGTTCCACTTCCTCCTCTCTTTCTCCTCACTTTTTTTCATCTTCCATGGCTTCCTCTCTCTAATCGCAGCACATGTAAATTCTCGCTTCTTTTGAGAAGAGACGAATCGATCGAGAGATGCTTCCTTTTCAGAGTCACTACGGATTGCAGACTAGTAATTGGTCGAATTATTGCAACGGAGATCGTGTTAAACGATCAGTTTTCGCCGGCGAATGCTCGATCGTTAACAATGCGGCGGATTCATCCAAGGAGGAGAGGAAATCGACTGAAGCGAGCCGAAGCCATAAGGAGGCCGAGAGGAGACGGCGACAACGAATCAATTCGCACCTATCCACGCTCCGGACGCTCCTCCCTAACACCACCAAGGTATCGTTTAATCCGCAGATTGTTGAGTGCATTTTGTATTATCAATGTTCAATTGACGAAGCGTTGAAGTTTGAGAGATGGCGGAGGAAAATTTTTGATTAATTTTAGGCTCTGCTTTCTTTGTTGAATAGACTGACAAGGCGTCGCTACTAGCGGAAGTGGTGAGTCACGTGAAGGAACTGCGGCGGCGAGCGGCGGAGGTGGCGCGTCGGAGTACTGCGGATCAATGCGGCGGCGGTGGAATTCGATCGGAGACCGAGCCGGCGCCGTGGCCTTTCCCTAGCGAGGAAGACGAAGCGACGCTCTGTTACTGCGATAACGAAAACAGGGTAATGAGAGCGACAGTTTGTTGCGATGAGCGATCCGGTCTAAACCGGGATTTGATGCAAGCGATCCGGTCGGTTCAGGCGAGGGCTGTGCGGGCCGAGACGATGACGGTGGGCGGGCGGACGAAGAATGTGGTGGTTTTGGAGTGGTGCGGCGGGGACGGCGGCGGCGGCGGGAGTAGAGAGGAGGAGTTTGTGGGCCTGAGGCGGGCCTTGAAGGCCGTAGTGGAGAATCAGGCCCAAAATCTTTCGAGTAATAAGCGGGCCCGGAGTTGGGCTTCTTGTCCAGAGGAGGATCGGTTTTTCATGTGCTGACGTGGGCTGCCAAGGTGTAAACGTATTAGGGTTTGTTATGTTGTTGGAGCTGGGAATCTATTTTTCTGCTTGGTGGAAAATGGAAACTGAAACAAAAGTGCTCAGCCTCTAACGCGAGAAAACGACCGACATGTCGTTTAACGCACAAAATAAGTTATAAACGGCCAGCCAAACCCACAAACTCACTCGGGATGGATCTTGATGATGGTATATCTTATTTAATTGTATTTTCCTTCCTTTCTACAATCTTTTTATTTTACATGCATGCTAATTAAATTAATATAATGAGTTTGGTTAAATTATAACTTTGGTCTTTGTCGTTCAAAAAATAAAAAATAATAATAATAACAATTTCGGTTTCTGAACTTTTAGAGTTGTATTTGATAAGTTTTTTTTTAAACTTTAAGAAGTGTCTAATCGATTTATACATTTTTAACATTATATTTTTTAATAGAACTCTGAAGTTTCAAACATATCTAACAGGTTTATGAAATTAAATTTTACGTTTAAAAGATACCTGAGTGATGAAGTTAGAAATTCTAATTGACACAAAATTAAAAGTTTAGAGACTTATTTAATAATGTTTAAAGCTTAAAGATTTATTAAATACAACGTCCAAAGTTAAAGATTAAAGATGCATTTTTCAATTCAAAGACTTATCAAACACAACATCCAAAGTTAAATAAATAAAATTTGATATTCAACCATCAATATCTATCATTTTTATTTGAAAAGAAAATGTGAAAGTCATTTGATCAATTGTACAATAATAGGTAGCTTATTAGAAGTTGAGTCGAATCATGTTAAGTAAAACATACTTGAATAATTGTTCCCCCTTAAATCTTGTGACCTATTACATTGAATGATAAATTAAATAAATGATACTATCATTTTGTTAGGACAACAGACCTTCCATATTTTTACACGTCCATTTTAAAATATATAAGTTTACTTTGGGGATAGTTGTTCTCCGAGTACAATGAGTCTAACGTCATGCTTACTGAAAAAAAGAAGAGTAAAAATCATGGGAGGAATCAAGCCAAGTTATTAATAATGTGCTTATAAAAATACGATAATTAATAAGAAAGCAAATAGGAAAGTAAAAAAGAAAGAATGGTAATTATAATTTAATAGAAGAAGAACAAAAAACAAAAAACAAAAATTAAAAGCATTTGAAGAAGGACACGTGTCAACCGACAGTGAAGCGCTGGGTCTTGGGAGAGCTTTTGTCCACTTAGCGAGAGAGTTGAAGACAGACGTCTCCTCCCTCCTTATCCTCATTTAGTCCTCAATCATTATTTTCTCTCTTTATTACTTTTTCTTTGTACGAAATGATTTCTCTTAAAATATCTATATATGTATTAAACTAAAACTTTCATTTTTTCAAGGAAAATACTTTTCTTGACCTATGTAATTTTGATCAGATAATTAAGAAAAGATTGTAAAATAAAAAAAATTTATAAAAATAACCTGTCAATTTTTCAACGTAATTAAAATTATATAGATTTGTAAGAGGTAAGCTTTTTATTTTTTTAATAAAAAAGTTTATTTAGAATATCGTTGCCGTGACGTTCACGCAGCGTGCCCACTAGATGATGCCCATCCTATCCTCGTGTACTTTTTAGAATTTAGTTTATAGATTATTCTGTTTAATAATATTAAGTTTTATATTACTTTTAATTTATAAAATTATCTTATAAGGTTGTAAACCTTTTTGTTTATCTGACATCCAAACAACCACCGTCTATATTATTTTTAATAAAATGCAGAGTTTCAAAATTTTCGTACAAGGGATAAACTTTTAAAATTATATTCAACGTATTCTTAAAATTTAAAAATCTAATTTTATCTATGGAGCTATTCAATATTGGAATCAAACCTGTTATTAACGTGGATATTTCGTCAGATTATCTCTATAAATACTTTTAATTTTGATTTGACTTAAAAAATATCTATGTATTTCAGTTTATGCTTAATAGTCTTTGGATCTGTTAAACATTTCTTACGTTCACTTATTAGCTATTTTTTAAGCGCACAAAATTTAACGTAGATCTTTTATTATTAAATATAAAACTCACATTCCTGAATAAAAAAAATAATAGGTTACAAATCTATTAGATACAAAATTTCAAGTTTACGTAACTATTAAACATTTTTCAAAATTCATAAATTTGTTAGATTGAACCCACCATCATAGATGACTTATTGGTCCAAAAGAGTCCTGATAAATTGAAAATGAACGGATTCAAATTCCGATCATCTATCATAAAATTTAATTTCTATAATTTCTATGTATTTTTAAGCTAATGTGTTTGGCATGTATTTTTTCTCTCAGAGATGTGTATAGAAAAAGTTATAAAACTAGAAAATGGCCAAACACAAACACGATATGAAATGAATCTGATCTCCATTAATGGGGTGATATGGATAAGCTTGAAAACGAGAGAGACGTCTTCTTTCCTTACAATTTTTCATATAAATTAAGAAAAACAAAAATATGGAACCAAAATTCAGTTGTATTCTGTTCGTAATTTGTAAGAAACATCTCAACAGTCATCCCCTTTCAACTGGGAAAGGCGGGAAGCGAAATGGGTCACCCAATTCGTGAGTTCTCTTTTCAATTTGTTCAGAATCAATATCCATCGATTTCTTCTTTTAGTTTCTTTGTCAAATGAAATTATTGTTGCTTAATCGTAGGCTTAAGAGCTTCCTGGGGTTGGCTAGTTTCAGAAATGGCTGCGATTAGACCCACCTTAATCCACAAGAATCCCTTTATTTCCTCCTCATCATTTTCCGTCGGGAGAAGTCCCCTTTCTGTGAGTCCTTCGATCTTTTTTTCTTTTGTAAATTCAGTATCCAGTAGCCTTTTTATGGACTTGAAATTTGAATCTATAGATGAAGGAAGAAATCGACGAAACTCATCAGGAACTGGAAGTGCCTTCTAATCGCATTCACGAGTGAGATTTCTTTTTCCTTCTCTGACATTTGTTCTTCTGCCAATTTACTCTTCGAATGTATCAATGGGAAGTCCGATGAATTTTCTCTTCTGGGTCTTAAAGGTTGGAGGTCTCTAGGAACCCATCAGGGCTTGCCCAAGAACTTTCAGGCATGGAAATGAGAAATGTGGCTAAAGTAAAAGATGAAGATAACCTGTTTGATGAAATGAAAAAGAGATTTCTGAGTTTTAAGAAGCACAAGTATTTGTAAGTAGCAGTTTTTGATTAATGAATGAGCAAATCTGAGGATTTTTTTGGCAACATGAAAACAAATTTGGGATTGGTTTTAAGGATTTCTTTTGAAAACAGGGAACATTTGGAGCATTTTCAAGCTCTTGCAGAACTACAAGCCCCTAAGGTAAAACTAAGATGAACGTTGAAGATCTTATGCCTTGTTTTGACTATCTGCTTATCACTTTGGTTCATTTGTTTTAAAATTACATTGGATAATTCAACACAAGCTCACAAGTAGAACAGTTCATGGTGATTTCTTGTGCGGATTCTAGGGTATGCCCATCCAATATCCTTGGATTTCAACCCGGTGAAGCTTTCGCGATTCGCAATGTAGCGAACATTGTTCCACCATGGGAGGTATGAAACCTTGTGTAAATATCTTGCATCATCTTAAGTGCCAGTTTGACATGTTTTTTTGAAAAATGTGTTTTAGAGAGAATTTTTTTATGTAAGCACCCAGAGAATAAAATTAATTAACTGTTTTCTCTAAAACTACTTACTTTTGATTATCCAAAATTTTGAAAAGTACTTTTAATTAGTCAAAAGCATTTTTTACACTCTTAAACCTTTAAAATTTTACTAAAACACTATCAAATTTTTGTTTAAAAAGTATTTTTAGTCATCCACAGCACTATCAAAAGGTATGCCAAACACACTAAGTCAGAGTTAGAGTTGAACTCTTTGACTGTCTTTAGGCAAGAAAATAACTAATTTGAAGTATTTGCATTTTACTTTTTGTACAGAATGGACCAACTGAAACCAATGCAGCCCTTGAGTTTGCAGTAAACACACTTGAAGTAGGCTGTTTTCCATGTCTTTTACAGTGAAATTCGATATTTACATCTCTACTCTGTACTCTTCAGTCTGCACATAAGACTTAAGAGAATGCATTTATCTGAGCTCTGAGAGAATTGCCTTTGTGCTGAAGGTTGAGAATATTTTAGTCATTGGCCATAGTAGTTGTGCTGGGATCCAGAGCATTATGAGCATGGAAGACGATGTTACCGCCTCGAGGTTTCACTTCTTCTGATTCCCTTGTATCTTCTATACCCGTTTTTCAGGTTCAGATTTGCCTTTCGAGCTGTAATTTATTTCTTATTTTGCTATGGTAGCTTTGTTCATAAGTGGATGGCGAATGCAAAAGTTGCCAAATTAAGAACAAAAGCTGCCGCCGCACATCTTAGTTTTGACCAGCAATGTAAATATTGTGAGAAGGTAACTATTCTTTCATTTCAAATACAAACCACACGAACTCTGTTGGATTTAATTCATCTTTGCTTGGAATCTCTTCTTTCTTTACTGATTCTTACCCTGTTGAGTTACTCTAAAAGCCCTACATTTGTTTACAAAAGTTAAAACTATTCGAGCATCGCTAAATTTGTCGATTGTTTACGAAAGAAAGTAGAGAAAGAATAAGCAAAGGAAAATGAAGTAGGTCCTTTTCACGACAATGACGCAGAAATAAGAGAGAATAATGTTTTGAGACAGTTTCTAATTTTGATGATGTCCTTTTTTTGTAACCAGGAATCGATCAAACTTTCATTGAAGAACTTGACGACGTACCCGTCGATCGAGGAGCGGTTAAAACGGGAGTTGATTTCTGTTCATGGAGGATACTATGATTTCTTGACTTGCACATTTGAGAAGTGGACCCTTGATTACAAGAACGCCAGCAGAGTTGATGATGATGATGATCATCATGGATGTCTGATGAAAAACCAATCAGTTTGGTGTTGACATTTTCTGAATCATTATCCTCTCTGAAACTTGGGGAGAGCAGCTGCTGAAATCATTACAAGAAAACGTATCTGTAAATTGCGTCTTTAGTTTCATGAAGGTGATGATTGATCTGCTATGTAACATGTACAACTCTTGTATATGAATTTACCTTACATCAATGTGGAAAAATGTTTATCCGAATTTTTGAAGGACTAATTTGAAAATCAAATATTGTGGATTTTAAGAGATTTGTTGTCTAAATAAGAAGGATATTTTGTTGGGTATTAACGGAAAAGTGACGCTAACAAAATTTTAATATTTGGCAAAAATATTAAATTTTGTCGGTGATATTGTCACCTACATTTTTTTTAATATTATTGGTACATTAGTAAGATGTAGGCTAACAAAAATTTTATTGATTCTTATTCTAAAAAATGTTTAGAAAAAAGAAACAAAATGTTAAACGAGATATCTGCCAAAGTTTTTTTTTTTTTCAAACAAATATTTACGAGTGTTGATTCTAAATTCTACCAAGCTCTAAAGGTTGGTTCCTTTGAACTCTGTCGAACTACGGAAGAGCGAGCTGCATAAGAAGATACATGCACAGAAGGAACAAACACTCAAAAGTTTAAGTCGGTGAGAGCACGAGCTCAATTAGTCGGCCTTATATAAAATGATGTATCTGAGTTGTTGGAGTGACGTCCCTTTTATTGGCAGCATGGGGGAGGGGGGATAAGTCTGCTATGGTCGTTATGTGTTAGCCAGTTACAGACTGTCAAGTCTTAGGTTGGTCTCCCTTTAGCTTGATTGTCCATAGTAGAACCAATTGGTTTTCTAGCTCTTTTCAAGTTGGTCCTTGTTGGTAGGTCGGACCTAATCTTTCAGGTGGGCAGATCCCATCCAACTCCACCGAGCTGACAGTCTATTTTTTTTATCTCTCCAACAACAGGTCCGAGCATAAGTTTATACCACCTCGATTTCTTTTATAGAACAATATCATCCTACAACATGTAGTTGTCAATAAATTTATGTACCAAAAAATTCGGCCTCTCTTTAATAATTTCTTGATCAGTTCTTTACTTCTTTTTAGTGAGCATTTAGTAATATACTTTTAATTTTTTAGTAATTAAAAATATTCTTTGCTTACTCAAAAAAGGAAAAAAAAAGTGTCAAAAGTACTGAATACGTATCTTCTTGTCTGTTGCTTGTATTGTACTTTGAACTTTTATACATTCCGGAGGTTGTTTTCGGCATCTTTTTTAGGGCCCAGAAAAAAAAAAGGTTAAAATAAAGGCAAAAAATAAAAAAGAACAATATGATGCTGAAAATAGAATAGTTTTGAGATTTTGATTTTTTCATACTTTAATGTCAATTTTATTTTATTGACTGTTAATCCATCGTTTGAACAATTTTTACTAGTTTATATATATCTTTAAATCTCCATCCTAAATTTCTTCGGCTATAGCTTCGTTTTGATTTTATGCTAAATATCTCACTCTATCTACTTTGAAAACTATATTAGATTATATAATTACTTAAAAAAATATATTAAAAACTGCTTAGATACCGGAACTTCAGATCATAAAAATTATGTCAATAGACAAAGCACCTATTAACATTGAACACTAAAAAAGAATCATTGGTTAAACCGAACTATATTATATATCTAAACTTAGCCATAAAAGAAATATTCAAATATAATAACAAAACGTCCAAATCCAAGTTTGATACTTTACTTTACATTGATGGGAAATAAGCAAACAAAATATTATGGTTGGATTGAAATGTTACATTTTGGGGCAGATGAAGAGAATGCTAACCCAATAGAAATGGGCAAATTTGTCAAGTTGTCATCTTTTTTTTTTTCTTTTTTAATAAAAAACTATTTTATAATTTATTATGTTTTTGGCTGTTTGGGCATTGCATTCCAATGAACAGAAGCAACCAAATTCAGTTGGGATAAAACTTTCAAGTGTATATGCCAAGAAAAAGGGAAACTCATCACATGGAATTATGGTAAGGTTTGTCCTTGAAAACAATATTCTTTCCTTAATTACCCAACAAAATAGGCAACCAAACAAATAAGGCAACACCTAAAAAATCTTCATCTTTCCTCTTTTAGCATTTATCTCTCTCATATATTGAGAATAATTTGCATATGAGAATCTAAACTTTAACTTTTATATACCTCTCATTCGTATTTTCTAAATCTATTTTCAACTACGATATTAACTTATCTTATGTGTTGCGTTTATCATATACATCTCATATTAATATTAAAATTAAAAAAAAAACAAGCAGTTCTATTGAACGTGATACAACAATTAAAACATTTTATTTCTATTTTTTCAAAGAGATTATATATTTGAATCTCCACCAATAATAAAATATTAGATTTGTCCTCCGAAAAATTTCGAGATAAAAGTGTGATTAAAAAAGAAAAAGAAGGGAAAAAATATGGTGAAATTGTCGGCAAAGGGCAATTGGGGAGATTAGAAGGTAAAGTAAGGCGTTAAGTAAAAATGATTAGAAGGCAGCAGCAACGCCGCATTCAAATGGAACCTTCTCTCCGACTTTGAATAGAATATATTTTGAAATTATCAAAATTAAAATATTAAAACAAAACAGCACATGGATTTTGAAATTATTTAATAATACAAATTCAAAATACCAAAATTGAAAATACTCTTTAATTCTGGTCAAACTAAGTCGGCTGCTCTCCAGTCTCCCCCTCCTTTCTCCGCAGACAACATTTGCAAATTATTCCATTTTCAAATATTTGATTATTTCTAATTATAGATATATGTATTTACCAGCAAATGACACATGTTCCGCTTGTTAGGTTCATGTCTTTTGACCAATCAAATTTGCCTTACATAAGTTTATATGAGCTTACATAAATTTTAATCAAAATTTTTTGTGCTTAACTATTTCCAAGCTGAAAGACTTTTGAATGATTCACACTATCCTGATTCTCTAAGTATAACTCAATAGTTAATGCCGATGTTGATTTTTGGACGGAGCACTGGATAGATGCCACGTAATATCATGTATGCCTTCATCTCTTAGTTGAAGTTTGACCTACACATGAAAACTTAGTATCTGTGTGATGTTTTGTCGATTGCACTTCGATGTCTAAATTAGTATTTGGGGTGGGAGCATACAGGTGTAGAGCACTAAAAGTTTTGTAACGAGAAATTTCACAACCTTTCAAATAGTAAAATTTGCATATCTTCATTTAGTTTCAAGTGTTGCTTTTATGATGGAGAGAGAGAGGAATCATTGTATGGCTGGGTGGAGACCACCGATACCCTGATCCTTCTTAAGGGTCGTAGAAGAGCGCAGTGGCATCTTGGACGATTCTCTGACATGTGTTAGGATTCGGTCGTTGGGTGTCCACACCTCTATTAGTTGTCTTGTACAAATTACTTAAATGCGCTCAGCTTCCTCGTCTTACTTGACTCGAGCAGCTGATTGGAGTCAGGTGTGCTTCTTTAAACTTTACTCGATAATAATTAAGGGTCGTTTGTTTTTTGGGAATGTAGATGCCCGGCATCTTCAGGAGAGACAAAAATAATGAAGGGACATCCAAATCGACTCGGATGCCTTTCGTATGGACATCTCGTCGAGTATCTTACATGACTCATTTTAAGATACTTTGTAGTGATAAGTTAGAGGGAGAAAGAAGGGATTTTCAGAGAGAGATTGAGGATGTTAGAGATAGCGTTTATCTGTCATTTTGCGTCCATTTGAGAGCGCCACCAATATGGGTCAATTAAGTAGTTCTCTTCTCTCCTTTGTTGTTTGTTGTTTTGGGATATGGGGGATGCCTCAGCCTCTCTCTACAATTTGGAAAGGCGGTGCCCTCTCTCATCTCTCCCATCTTTCAAATCAGGCGGTGGGCCCCACCCTCCACCCCCCGCCCAACAGCGGCGCCACTGGTCTTTCTTTACTTGGTTTCCAAGCTCACCCACCACCACCACCCTCTCTCTTTCTCTCTCCTCCCTCCCATT